AGAGCATGTTTCTGCAGCTGCCTTGTGCTAATAATTTAATCCTCGTCTAAACCTCCTCCTCCTCCTCGTCAGCTTGTCTTCTTCCAAAGAGTCAAAAGCGCAGATTACCGTCACGGGCCACCACGCCGCTCTCTGATGCAGTCTCACCTACGTATAGAGGATAAGTGCGTAAATGTGCAAGGCTCCTCTCCCTCCAGCTTTGGGAACACCCAGCTCCGAGCCTGGCCGACCCGCTTTCCTCTCGCCTCATTGCCTACCTGGCACGTGTGCTGCACGGAGAGTCTCCAAACTCCAGGCTGCGCTAATATTTCCTAAGTTGACTGCTTTTGCTGAGACTCCATTAGGAAAGGGCTGCTTTTATGTTTTCTGGATGGGTAAAGGGGATTCCTTTCCCTAAGCCGAGTTCCGGGCTCACCTGAAAGTGGGAAGTAAAGAGGCTTCTTAAATTAATGGCATCAAATTGAACATGTACAACAATCATAAAGCGACAAGCCTTTTATAACATTGGAGAGCAGTATCAACTCTTTTTTTTTTTTTTTAATCCGATGCTGCTCTTTAAAAATGTTTGTTGTGTGCACGGAACAACTGGTTGCATACTGAGCGGCAGCCCGTGGGCTTATTGTTGTAAATAGACAGGTCTGGGGTGGCTGCTCTCGGCCTCGGTTCCTCGGCCCTGGCGGCCTATAGGGGGCGCGGCGGAGGCAGCAGAGCCAGAGAACCGAGCGCAGGGGCGGCGCCATCTGGGTTCGCGAGGACGCGCCTGCAGAGGCGCGCCTGGCTCTACGCTCCACTCCAATACCATCTTCTTCCCTTTTGCAGCTTCCCACTTTCCATCTGTGCCCACCCACGGGTTTCTCAAAGAATTAAAAAAAAATTTGGCATGGTTCACGGGAAAAGAATCAGGAATATGTGGGCTCCCTCTTCCTAGGTTCACAGTGCTGGAGACACGTAGCCGCTGCGGCCCGGCCAGCTTCTCACACCCATTCTGTAGCTCTGATCCGGCGTGACCTGCCGAGGCTGTGCATTTTGCCGCGCGGTGGAGATGGGAGTGCTAGTTGTACTTTATAAGTTGCCAGCAAAACGTTTTCTTTTTCTTTTCATCTTTGCCAGTGCTGCCTGCAGACTCCAAAAGGCATCTTCAGAAAGCTGATAATTAAAGCTATGGAATCCGAGCATGAGTAATCATTACCTATTTTGCTTGGGCGCAGTTCTTCAGAGAAAATGATGTCCTCTCCAATAATTATTAGGTTATCGTCTTGTCATATTGACTTCTCCAGGAGCCACAATTTGAGGATAAATGTTAGGTCAACCTTTGGTATTCATTCTCTGATTCCGATAAATCTAGTATTCCAGGGGAAAAAAGCCCAAAACAAAATAAACAACAAACCCCAAATCCTAGGCAGCAGTCATTTCTGAATAGAAGACAACTATATGACTGTTTTAATGATATTGAAAAAAATGAGTACTTAATAAAATGGCCGTTTTAGCGAGTGATAAACACTTTGAAGCAGCCAGAAATTCAGTATCTCACAGCACATTTTGTGGAACGCTGTCTAGATTTTGCCATCTTCCTGGAATGTTCCGCCATTGCTCATAGTAATAGCTTCTTATTGACTGATGAGTATTTGTGTATAGATGGATTACCGCAAATTCAACTTCTCCAAAGACTATAGCCCTAAACAATAGGTACCTGTAGATAAAATGCTTTGTTGACGTGCTTTGGGAAGTTCAGAGATAATTGATGGACAAATAAGTAGGATTTGTATTTGGGCAGACCAAAGGATATCTATTTTGGCTTTTTTTCTCAATGAGGAGAGAGATGGGGAAGTAGAAAGAATGAGCTGAGTCAAGAGGCTGTCCTCAGGAGGAAGGCCCGTGATTGTGTCTCCCAAGGCAGTGCCCCTGGCATGGCCCCAGTGGAAATTCCTGGCTTGCTTTGTCAACTTTCCTGAGTCCTGGGCCTCAATATCAGCTCTTAGGAGAAAAGACTACATTGCAGCCCCAGGAGGGGGGTGCTGTGAATGGGGGTCCTTGATGAATGGATGAAAGGTTTTTCAGTAACAAAGGGCATCAGTAGTTTGTGTTTCATCGGCTGAACCAAATCACATGCCCCAAAGGTCTGTGTTTTACTGTCAGTGTCTTTGACACCACCCACTCTTTCTCCACACATACCCATTCTCATCTTGAGGAAGGGACTCTGCTTGGCTATTCTGGAATTTTCTTAACCAGCAATTGTTTTTGTTCTTGATTCATATTTTATCAGGTAAGAACCCCATCTTTTCAAATGTGCCCCCAGGTTACCTCATCTTCACTTAGCAAGTGAAAAAAATATTCAAAATTATACGTAAGAAAAATTTTCCCATCTGAAAATTTGAAGCACTAGAAGTTGAATTTTGCAAGTTTGTTTTGGGTAATCAGCAAGCATATTTCCCTTGGTTGGTTCAGCAACAACATTTCTGTCCCGTCATCTAGTTAGGGATGAATGGCATATTGTGGTTTCCAAAACTGAGACTACATATGCTGCACCCAAACTTGCTCAGTTTGGGAAGCTCACAAGTAGGCTTGCCTTTAATTTTTTTCATTCCCCTGAGTTTCTCTTTTGGCCAAAGAGAAATCGCTTCTGTGCCATTCAAAATACTTGAACTTATCTGCAACTCAGAGTAGAGAAGTAGCTAGTGAAGCCCTTCTTGGAAATTCTTTGGCATGTGGGATGGGGTAGGGTGTAAAAGGAATGGGAAGGTCACAAAAAGTCCTGGTGTCTTTTTTTTCTTTTTCTGGAAAAATGATCAATGTTGATCCACAAAGAGAAACTCAAAAGAAAAAATGCTGACAGAGTTTGCGAAGTGCCTTGAGTTTTTCCAGTAAGCTTGCTAAAGAGCTCTTTGATTAGTCTTCTTTCGATTATCAATCATTAAACCTTGCATAAGACTCAGCTTGTGCCTTCTATATGCAGTATAATGTCATATATATATATAAGGTTCTCTGAAAGACATACGGGCAGACAGAGATTGCCTTTGGAGAAGTACATAAAGAAAAACTAATGTAGTAGTAAGAATGTTTTAGAGGCAATCAAGAAATTTGAGAGAAAATACATTGATCTAGATTTCTCTAGAAAGACAGGCATAGCTTAAAATAAAATAATCAAATAAGAACAGGCAGAACAGCTAGCTGGCTTCCATGGGCCAGGTGTTTGACTCTGGGGAAACCTCAAGGAACGTAAATTGTAGGGTCTCTGTTTTCCTGCACCTTCTAGTCTAGCAGAAGAGTTTATCATGTGCAGCTCAAGTAATTGATATGTTAAGAAAACACAACACAACAGATTCAAAATACAACTTGATTTTGTTCCTGTTGTTCTTGTAAACTTTATTCAGTGGGACCAACGTCCATGACCCCTGGATGAAAACTCTGGCAGGCCCCACGGCTCTTCTGCTCATTCTTAGATAATTCAAAAAGTCTTCTGGTCACAGACGCAGTTTCATTTCAGCACTTACAGTGTCTGGTTCCATGCAATAATCAAAAACTGACTTTGGTCTAGCTACACCCCCTTCACATGTCCTGCCTGTGTGCCTGCAGTGGGGAGGGGAGGCTGAGGAGGCTCTGCTGTCTCCCAGCTCCTGCTCCCAGGCCATCTCACCGCAACTGCTATGGTGGTAGGGTGTGTGTTGGGTGCATGCAGGAAGGAGAGGTAGGAACTTCAGCCCTTCTAACCTGGCTGGCTGGTGTTCTATTTTCTGGTCTGGCAAATGGTTTGGGTCAACTCTCTATGATGGACTCTCTGGAGCAGTGAGGCTTTGGAAGCACCCAGTAGCTTCCTTATTCTTGCGGCTCCCTCATTCCTGGTGGGTGCATCTCCCTTCCTTCAGGTGGTCAGTGGACCCTACCTTCCTTAGCCCTGGCTGTCCAATGGATACCCTCCACCCCCTTCTTGCCTGAGTCTCCTCCTACCTCTAAGGATCCCTTTTGCACATGTTGGACAGGATTTCTCTTGCTGACCCAGGACACACAACTGGTCCTGGGAATTCTTATTCCCCTTCGTCCTCCATCCCCACCTGCGGTCAGCAGGTGCAGTCTGTGCTGCATGCACCCATCCACGCTCTCTGGCTCTGGCCCCAGAGCTGTTTGCCAACGCCTTTGCCATCTTAGGCAGATTCTGGGACAGACGCTGCTGCATGGTCTGCTTGTGTTTGTGTGGCTGGCTCCCATCTCCCAACTGCAGAAGCAAGCCTTGAAGCCCCCGTTCCATGGGCCTTGGGGAGGCGGGACAGAAGGCCAGGGAGGTCCCTTCACGACGTCCTCTTTCTAATCTCAGCTTTTTCCATATCCATGATCTGGCTGAGGGATCCAGAGTCGCTAAAGAAGTCCTTGGGCTGTTTCCTCTGCACTCCTTGGCACAGGGGGAGGGTAAGTGTCCTACTGGGATCTGAGTAGGACAGAGAGAGAAGGAGTCTGTCCTAAAATCTGGTTACTCCTCAAACCCAGTGAGCCAGGTGCAGTCACCATAACACAAAGAGAAACTGAATTCCAGGTGGTTTAAGTTACCTACCCAACCGCAGCAACCCAGTGACGAGCTTGGGCCTCGAACCCAGGCCCACTGAGCAGATTCTGTATTGTCACTGCAGGGGCATCATGCACGTTCAGGATGAAGGGGCTTTGAGGGGAGAGGGCTGCCTCGTAACAGATATTCGGGGCAAGCAAGTAAAGAAAGTGGGGTGAGAAAGTGAAAGATCCCCCACTCCTCCCCCTTTCTTGACTCCCACCGGCCTGCGCGGCCCACGCGGCATGGACAACAGACCCTTGTGGGCCACCGCGGAGGCCGTGCCACTCGGTGCCGGCCCCACGGCCATCACCGGACCGCTGGAGATGTGACTGGGCTCGGGACATGAGCCCGCTTGTTCGCTCACTCTCAGTGAAAAGAGTTTTGAAATGAGTTCTGAATAGACAGCATTTTCTTTGTGCGGTTGGTAAATAACACAGAGCAAAGTTAGCAAGTTGCAGCGCCTCTGCGTTCTGATTCTATGGAACCTTTTTGTAGGGAGAAGGGCAGGATGTTTTTAACTGAATGTGACCTCACGGGAATACTAGAGGTAAGGAGGAAAAAATGGTTGAGGTAACTGTGGGTGTTTTACATCTCAGAAACCATGGCTTTTAATAAAGCCACATGAAGAGAGAAGCTGGCATCATCCCACACAAAAACCAGTGCCTGGCAGAGTTGTGGAAGGTGCTATTCACATTGGTTTGGCATTTGTGTAGCTTTGATTGAAAATCAATGGCTTTCTTATGATAATTTTCATATCTTTTCTTATCCCTTAGAAAATAATAAAATTTCTGAATGGGGCAGCGTGGAGAAATCCTAAGAGAAATAGCATAAGAGCATTTTGGAACACATCCAGGAAAAGATAACTTTCGACACACCTGTAGACATTCGCCAGGTAAAGGTAAGAAAAAATACTGTAAAAAGTACATTTAGGTTATTTTATTACATCGCACTGGGTTGAACTTTGAATGAAAACACATACCACTGACACGAGATGGGCGAGGAGGAGTTAGGAGGGCTCACCTTCTGCCCCTCCCTCTCGTGGGCATGGGCATGGCAGCCATGTGTCCACCGTGACCATCAGCGACCACCTGAGTGGTTTCTAATGCCGGCTGTGGAGCAGTCAAAGACATGTTCACCAGGTCGAGGGGATCTGACTGAGTATAATACTCGGCAGACAGTTCTGCGAAAAAGTCAATGTATTTAATACTGCAAATATTACTTGTACAGTATGGAATTTCTTTTAGATTTATATTTGCACTGGGACTGACTCATTTTCTATTTAAGATTTTTAAAAACATCACTTTTTCTGTGCTCAGACGAGAAGTACATCTGTTGCTTTCACATAATAAGCATCAAATATGAAGACACGTTGAATGCTTGAACCATTTGTTTGTCGCTATAGGAGACCTGCAACATATGCATGCTATATGTCTGTTTACTGGAACACAGGCACTGAGGAATCAACCTTCATGGTTCTTTCTTTGAGCCATAAGATTTTAAAAAATCTCTAGCTAATTTAGGTCACTGAAAATGAACATTATTTTGGACTTTTGAATGGGTATTTTGAAGGAGGTTCAGAAGGACAAAGATTGCATTGGCCACTACGCAGTACTTGGGATGGTAGATGAGTTTCTTGAGCAAAGCATAATAACCACTTTTATTTGTTGGTATGATATATACACATAACGTTAGCACTATGACAAGATTGTTCTTTCAGTTTGCATAGAAATTAGCTGTTGGTTCTCAGGACTGTGCAGTTTTCTGTCTCGTGACTGTGGGTTAAGGAAAGCACTTGTAACCGGAGGAGAGCAGACAGTGAGGCTCACAGTGCTGTTGCAGTCAGGAAGAGCTTCTGATTTTCTGGCAGTTGGTGAATACATTTATTGCACATAACTTGGAGGCTTGATCTTTCTAACTATTTCAGATAAATTGCTGTCAAATTAGCAGGAATGGTCCCTTCAGATCAACCTAAATAATTTATGCCAAAGTAGTGATTCTCTTGTAAGCCACCTTCATGCGGCCAAGATAAAAATGACATTCCTAGCAACATGGTCCTACATTAAATTATTCATAGTCCCACATTAAATTATTTTGATGTTATTCAAAAATAACATCATTTTTCTTACTGACTTTGTAACCAAACTTTTTAGGTGAGACGGTGTCCTTAGTTTGTGACTTTGCAAGTTATCTGGGAAAACCTGTATTTACAACACGAAATAAAAATAAAAATAAATCCAAACTAAAAAAAAAGCTTTACTTTGATTATACCTTTAAACGATTTGAATTAAAGTTCAGTTCTGTACATCACCACATAGGAAATCTAGGCCCTTGAGCAATGTATTGATGAATTGGGGTAGAAATGTAGGAGGATGGAAACCATGGCGGCACGGGTCTCTTTTCCAGAAACCATTTACACAGGCTTACCAGAAGAGGGCAGCGCAGAGCAATGAACTCTCCAAGGAGTTTCCAAACAGATGTCTTGAAACCTAAAGTGAAAATCTCTGCGTGAAAGTAGCCGTTTTTGGACAGCGTCCTCCACCAAAATCATAAATCTCTAAAATAATAATAAAACTCCCCATACATGCTAATCTCGAAATGGGCCCCTTTAACATGGAAGGATTGAGTTGCAAGGGGCAAAATTTTAATTCCCTGAGGTCATCAGAGATGTTTTCACTTCGATTTTCCTTTTGATTTATTTTATTATAAAAGACTATGTGAAGTCTAGTATTAGTCATGTGCACAAATTTTCATTTTACAGCTTTTTGGGGTGATTTTTTTGATGAAAGTATTGAAAAAAATCACAAATTCAGATTCGTGGAAGATTCCCTATGTAACACAGCGTTTGAAGCAAAATGCAGCTTAAGGAAGTTTCCCATTAAATCCATATTTCCCTGATGCAAAATGATATCACATTGTTTTACTTGTTAATTTTTTTCTTCTCAGAATTACCACAGAAAACATTTTTTGTTTTATAATAAAACACGTGATACTCTACATTGGACATACATTTTACACTTGAAATCTGGAAAGAAAAACCTACTAGACTGGAACAGAATTCCAAAGAACGTGAGGGGACAAATCTCTGGAGACATGTTATATTTTGCTTTAGGGTTACTATAAAACTCGAGTTTCATCGTCTATGCATAAATGTTTAGGGGATCTAAATGTCTTTTCACTAAATTTTATTCTGTAATCTGAAAGTTAGCATTTAAGATGATCATTCTTATAGGCTAATTAGGGTGATAAAATCCTTTCCTCTTTTCAAAAGTTCACGAGCGCATAACAAATTGGAACTACTTTTACAAGCCAAGTGTCTCTCTTATGCCATTAGCTTTTTTGGATTTACCTTCTAGATGACTTTGACTCATGTTAACTTCAGTTATTTGACATATCAAGTATGGTTGTCTTCAAAGGTTTCCCAGGCAACTGCAACAATTCATCTGGTTCTAGTCAAAAGTGCCCTTGAACTCTCAGCTCACTTCCCTTCCCTGTATGAGTAATGTGTGTAGCAAAAGGAAAAACACCAAAGACTTTCATGTAACAGGCTAATGTGAATGATTTGGTGAAGAGAGGGATGGATTTCACAAAAGGATCCACTCGGATGTTAAGACCTCAGCTGGCTGCCTGCGTGTTCCCTTTGTCAAGCTCTCGTTTGCATTTGGGGGGAAGGCCACAACCCACATCGTGTGTTCTGGGTTCTGTTTAACTCTTCCTCACAGTTCCTAGGGCCCCAAACTCTTATCCCTGGGTGGCCCCAAGGACTCCTTCAAGGCCAGATCGCTGGCCCGCCAGGGAGTGACTGCCCCCCAATCTCTGAGAGATGCCTCAGGACTCCAGCTGATTCACACACACGCTGACCTGTGAGAATCATTCTCTGCATCTTGTTTCTCACATAACCCACTGGGAAGCAATGGTTAGAGTCTTGTTGCATTTTGCTTAGAGGAAGAGTTTTATAATTACCTCCCAAATAGTTCCTGAAGAATAGAGGAGAGAGTAATTGGAATCTCTGGTCCTGTTGTTTGTGCAAGGTTCCTCTGCTTAACATTGATTACATTCTCTGCTGCGTTTAAAAGAAAATATTTCACCTCATCTAGGCAGACAGTGAAGTTAGACCATTACCTTTTTTGCCCTTTATTTTGACTCGTCTTCACAGTCGATTGACTAGTGCCTGGAATGATGGCAAATAAGGCAATATAACATGGACAGCCTGCAAATCCCACTCATGGAGCTCTGTAAGTGGGAGCAGATTGCTGTCTGAGTACAGGGCTTCTGCAGACGTCTCCCTATCAACTCCACATTGAACTCAAAGTCTAGAGAACTTCAGCAATTAATGATGTGTCATCTGGATCCAACCATAAAAGCATGGTGACCACCCCTTCCGCCACCCCTCACCATTCCTTTCTCCTTGGATTTGTTGTATTTCGTTCTGTTCAATATACTTACTGAGAAGTAAACATTACATTGAAATGTGTCTAAGTAGGCAGATTTTTAAGAATCTACTTTTCTGGGTCTATAACAAATTTTAGGAAGGCTATTTCCATTGATATGTGAAAATATATGATAGTTGCTTTAGCTACTAGCCCTTCCAACAGCTACATTTACCCACTGTGATTGTCACTTTGAATAATCCTTGGGTTATTAAAATTAATATAGATAAATATAATTTTATAGTAGGAAATGTAGTTGTCAGGATGTGAAATAATAGTAATCAATTTGAATAAATATTTGCTATTTGTTTTCATAAAAGTTTTAATCCTTAAGAGAGAACTCTGACCAAAATAGGAATGTAGCAGGATCAATGAAACAGGTGGCATGAGTCATCTCACTGGCTTTTAATTAAAAAGGATGCTGTGGTTGTTGGCGTGGACTGGACTGCGCATAGGCAGTTTTAGAATTTCTTAAGCTGAAATCCAGCTGGAGAGTTCTTAATCAGAATGGACTTATTTTGATAATTTATAATCTGTGTATTCAGAGCATTGATGTTATAGTTTTGATACCTAAATCACCGTTTTAAAAATTCAAAGAGATATATGAATCTCGAGTCTCGGACAGTTATTCCTGAGCCAAAGGATTTCTGTGCAATGCTAATATGTATAATAGAGAATCAGTCTTTCACTGTACAGTTTTGTCATCATGTTTCAATAACTGAATGAATATTCTGAATTAATAAGCATAACGTTTGTATAAGCTAAAGACTAGTCTAAGCTCTGCATTCATTGATGGGAACCTTAAGCAAATGTTTCTTTTCATCAGCTTGTTCAAAAGGCATAAACATAATTAGAGTTCTGAGGTGATAACAGATCGACTGGTCAAAATAGTAAGTGGGTCTGGTCAAGGTAACTTAAAGTTATGGGCTGCATGTTGTTTTGAGTACTTGGAAGAATCTGGAAAAAAATTTTTTTTTTAAGAAAGATATGTTTACTGTTTATCTTATAGAAAAACAGTCTGAGCATTAAACCCCCACTAGAATTTTGGGGGTTTTGTTTTTCTAAAGAGTTGGTTAAAATTCAGATAAGTTGATACTTATAGCTTGAGAGAAAAGATGGGGAAATGGTAGAAATATCACATGATGAGTTAGTTTTAAATTTCTCAGAATGCTCAGGGGACAGTGAGGGAAAGAGGGACTTGCTGGCCATGTCCCCACACCTCTGCTTTGCACCTTCTGCTGAGGTTAGTTCCTGAAAATAGTGCTGGGTCTTTGCGCTACATCTGGTTCGGCTTCTTTTCCTCCTTCCTTCTTTATCCTTCACATGGCCTGCCCTCTCTCTCTTAAATCTTAGGTCTGTTGTGAGGCTGGGGTAGGAGTGATGTGAACATGTGCTCCTGGGCCTGGAAACGCCCCTCTGCCCTGGCTCCTTCTGTCTCGGCAGTGCGTGTCATTCATTCTCCCAACAAATA